TGTTGAAGTGAAACAAGAGATTATTTATAAATTTAAGAATATTGTACGATATTCTATTATATTCCATATTTCTTTTTTATTTTTCTTTGCGAATGTGTCTATTTGGTAATATTTTTGCAAAATATTTACATTTTTTTTATTAGAGTGTAGAATAGTGGCGAATCTTGGGAATTTCGATGCCTGATATTCTATAAATTGACTTGATCAGTACCATGACCTCTGAAAATTATTCGCGAATCTAAGAATATCGTTCGTACAACATTTTACCTTGTGAGGAACATTATACAACATTTCATAACATAACGTTTTATAACAACGTTTTATAACATTCTTGAACTTATATATAAATAGCTTTTAGTTCAAAAAACCATTCCGTGAATATAAGAATACTATATAACATTGTAATTATATAAAGAATCATGTTTGTTATATTTTCGAATTTACAAATAATCTTCTGACAGCGAAAAGAAGGCAACGTCGTCTTTTTTTCTCTTCTCGAACATGCGTTTAATCTTCGAACGAACGAACTGACGAGTAAAAAGAAAAAAAAAAAAAAAGATGGAGAACCAAGGATGCTCCTTATCAACTCGATCGAGACAGATTACAGCCAATCTATAACAAACGCCGAGCAAACTCTACTCGGAGGAGAAGTACATTCGATAATGAGGAAATGGTCGCAGGGAAACCTTATTGTTGCCCCCGACCGAGCGAAAGGTCAAACACGAGTGTTCTCGGGTGAAAAGTATGTAATTATCATCGACCACGTGGCGCGACGTGTTGTTCCCTTTGTTTTTCGTTGCAACGTGACTTATCTCCGAGCGAGCGAGCACCACTCGGGTTTTACGTAATGAATTTCGACGATGATTATTTCACACAAGCCGCGTAACGCACCGAGATCAATTGCGTAACGTTACGTACGATCCGAACGTTGCTCCATAATATAATCCAGCCAGTTGGAAAGTGAAACCGATTCGCTTCCGCTTTTCATTCGCGGTTATCAGTGTCGGATTATCCGGACGCGTGATCGTTGCAAAATACCTGCTATATCTCGCGGAAGAAATTTTATTTTCGTTGGACGTAACTGGGAATATTGGACGTAGTTGGATAAACATAATTGGGAATTTCGGAGAGATTTCGTTCCCTTGGAATGTGTTTTATAATGAGTTAACATAACGCGAGAGTGCAGGACTGAGAAAAATTGTAGACGGAGAGAGCACGGGTAGGATGTGATAAACAGTTGTGCAATTCCAGATTTTCAACAGTGGTAGCTGAAGAAATTGTAGCTGACTAGAGATTTGTTTTTATTATAAATGATAAATATAGTATTTATAAATATTTTAAATGTTTCATAATTATTATATTTTAAATATAATATTAAGTATAATATTAAATATAATATTAAATTTTAAATATTATATTTAATTATATTTTAAATATTTTAAATATATATAAATTATATTTTAAATATTTTAAATATATATAAAGTTTAAATATATATATATATATATTTTAAATATCTAAATATTTTAAAGTTTAAATATATATATATTTTAAATATTTAAATATTTTAAAGTTTAAATATAATCATGTAAATATTTTGTATAAACTTTCAAATATTTATTATAAATATTTCACATATACTTTCAAAGTTTTCATAAATGCATGACTTTCTGATTGTTACGGCTAAAACGAATTGTTTTATTGTAAAGTTAATTTGAATAATCTAATAGTTTTGAATAGTTACACTTTAAACACGATGAATAAGAAAATGAAGACACGGTGCTTTCAAATATATTAGATATAGATTATATCGTCTACAACGTTTCCTAGTCCTCGTTTCCTAGTTATCGTGTTATTTTAACCTAATTAACCTTCAGTAATCAGAATCCTACTTACTCCAATATGAAATCTAGCAACAAGTAGCTCTTACAAATAAATGACTCGATGTTGTCGAGCGGATGAAATCAAAGTTTCGTGTTTGCATATAAATCTGCGTGAAATGATCTCAATCTCGAAAGTAGTATCGAAGTTTTATTTCTGTTGAAAGTTGCTATTTATTAAAATTAAGGGCGTCGTGTATTATTTTGCATTTACAATGTTTCTATCTATATTCAGACTGGTGATAAAAAATTAAAATAAATTAAATAATAAATTGAATTAAAAATTCCGAGGTTTAAAAAAGCCCTACTAAATTATTACACGCTATCGTCGATTATAAAAGTTGGTATTCGACGTTGGTAATCTTTAAAATCGAAAACGTAAACGTAAAACCATACGATCGACCATACATTGGTTATTAAAAAAAAAACCGCATTTTTCTTTTTTTCTTTTTTTTTTAAATAAAACACAGCGAATGCTCCGTGATTTATCGTGTTTTTCGCTGATCTGGTCGCGTCGAATGAGACTTTGATATATCGTTCGGTCGGAATTGCAACGGAGATCGTGATCGCATCCATAGAAAGTCTGCCCACGCTCTCGTGTAAATGCGCGTAAGCTGGGAAGGAAGTATCAAACTAGATAAGCGTAGCAACGTTCATTACTTCCGTCTAGCGTGTGGATGCTACGCGTTATATTCGTCCGTCCGCTGCGAGATTCGTGAATTGCTCCCTTTCTAACGCATTCACGCAGCCAGCCCGGCCATAGACACGCCTTCCACGTTTCGTTTCGTTCCTTTTTCCTTCTCTTCCTCTCCTTTCCCCTCCCTTTTTTACCCTGTCGCTTTGCGAATTTAACCGGTCGCGAAGTTCCCAGACTTTGGAAATTCGATAACGAAAGAAAGAAAGTGAATGGAGAGTTTCCGAAGAACGACGAGGAAAGTTTCTTCAAATGGAAATTTCTGCGCACTCTTTGCTAAATGAAAGAAAATGTAGATACGCGTGTTTTTTTTTTTTTTTTATTTAAAAAGACATGTTTTGGCCTCTTCATTGAATGTGTAAAATTGATGAGGATGATTGACGCTAGACCTACCGAAATAGTTGAAATGACTGATTTATAATGCTTCCTAGAAATTTTGTAATATATATTTTTAAAGATTTAAATGGTTCTTCGTAAAATTTTCGTAGAACAAATAAAAGTTTCTGTATAAGATTGTATTGTAAAGTTTTTCTATCTTTTTTTTTTTATTTTTTTTTTATGTTTCCGATGAAAATTCAGGGTTCAATCGTCGATAGTTGTAGTGTTAAGCTCCGTTAGCATTTAGTAAAAATAATCCCGTGTACTATCGATATACATAGTTGCAACTTTTCATTATAACGTTTCATATTGGAAAATCGATAGAAAATCAATTATGACAAGCCGAAATTATAATTGTTGCTACGATATTACAAAATTGAAGCAAATACGTACGAAAATGATTCGAAGAACGATCCTGCGCACTNAAGAAAGCGGAGTTGCAACTTTTCATTACAACATTTCACGTTGGAAAATCGATAGAAAATCAATTATGACAAGCCGAAATTATAATTGTTGCTACGATATTACAAAATTGAAGCAAATACGTACGAAAATGATTCGAAGAACGATCCTGCGCACTCGGATGCGCAGTCGGCTCGAATTTAGCGGCGCCAAAAGTTTCAAACGATGAATACAAACGTTTCGATAGTCAATCCAAACTTGAGGCAATCAAACGTCAGTGAAACAATTTCGAAGATATCTTCGAGCGTATTTTCTTGCAGTTTTCTCTTACGCGGGAAGAAATTGTGGAAATAATCTCAAGGAAAATGACAAAGTGGGAGAATTGGGGAAGAAAGAAACTCAGAGCGAAAGAAAGCGGAGTTGCAACTTTTCATTACAACATTTCACATTGGAAAATCGATAGAAAATCAATTATGACAAGTCGAAATTATAATTGTTGCTACGATATTACAAAATTGAAGCAAATACGTACGAAAATGATTCGAAGAACGATCCTGCGCACTCGGATGCGCAGTCGGCTCGAATTTAGCGGCGCCAAAAGTTTCAAACGAAGAATACAAACGTTTCGATAGTCGATTCAAACTTGAGGCAATCAAACGTCAGTGAAACAATTTCGAAGATATCTTCGAGCGTATTTTCTTGCAGTTTTCTCTTACGCGGGAAGAAATTGTGGAAATAATCTCGAGGAAAATGACGAAGTGGGAGAATTGGGGAAGAAAGAAACTCAGAGCGAAAGAAAGCGGAGTTGCAACTTTTCATTACAACATTTCACATTGGAAAATCGATAGAAAATCAATTATGACAAGTCGAAATTATAATTGTTGCTACGATATTACAAAATTGAAGCAAATACGTACGAAAATGATTCGAAGAACGATCCTGCGCACTCGGATGCGCAGTCGGCTCGAATTTAGCGGCGCCAAAAGTTTCAAACGATGAATACAAACGTTTCGATAGTCGATCCAAACTTGAGGCAATCAAACGTCAGTGAAACAATTTCGAAGATATCTTCGAGCGTATTTTCTTGCATTTTTCTCTTACGCGGGAAGAAATTGTGGAAATAATCTCGAGGAAAATGACAAAGTGGGAGAATTGGGGAAGAAAGAAACTCAGAGCGAAAGAAAGCGGAGTTGCAACTTTTCATTACAACATTTCACGTTGGAAAATCGATAGAAAATCAATTATGACAAGCCGAAATTGTAATTGTTGCTACGATATTACAAAATTGAAGCAAATACGTACGGAAATGATTCGAAGAACGATCCTGCGCACTCGGATGCGCAGTCGGCTCGAATTTAGCGGCGCCAAAAGTTTCAAACGATGAATACAAACGTTTCGATAGTCGATCCAAACTTGAGGCAATCAAACGTCAGTGAAACAATTTCGAAGATATCTTCGAGCGTATTTTCTTGCAATTTTCTCTTACGCGGGAAGAAATTGTGGAAATAATCTGGAGGAAAATGACGAAGTGGAAGAATTAGGGGAGAAAGAAATTCAGAGCGAAAGAAAGCGGAGGAACCGCGGTGCAAAGTGGGGCGCGCGAGCGGTTTCAAGACCGAACCGAACCGAACCGAACGAAAGTGGCGAACGATCGCGGCGCGCTTGGCTGCTGTGAGCTCGAGGGGCCTCGAACCGCGCGCGACCCTCAGTTCGAATTGAGCGTTTCGCGACGAAGCAACGAAGCCAGCGGTAACCAATCTCCTCGTGTGTTGTTGTTCGGTGTTGTTGTTTCCTCGTATTCGCCGATTCTCCGTGTCCCCTCGACGATGACACGCCGGTCTCCGAAAACGTGCAGGTGAAAATATTCTTGAGGCAACTGGTGTTTCTATCTGTCCACACACAATACACACTTCCGGTCTTTCTTTGGTCCTCGCCGGATTCGACGCGGTGATTCTCGCGCTGAGACTTCTCGATACAAGGGGCGATATCATCGACGAACAAGGTTTGCGATATTTGTTGCACGATAAAAAAAAAAAAATGTTATTAATATGTTGCAAGGAATGATATCGATGTATTTAAAAAAAAGTCAGATTGTTGTTTGGTATTTATACGATTTTTACTATTCCGATAAAGGGGAAATTCGATAAAGATGCCTCTTTGAATCGTTTCTTGCGAGTTAGGAATTAGTAATTATTGAGCGATACGATACGATACGAATGTGATAGTAAGTTGATCGACCAGGCAATGTTTATGCATTCACGATTTTCTGTTTTGCAATGTTTAATAGATTTTCTAGATAATTTCAATAGAATTTTAATAGATAAAAAAAGTTTCTATCGTTAATTATAAAATTGTTAAATTTTTTTGATAATTATTCTTCAGTGTTTCAGTTTATTCCTTCTTAAACTTTTTTTGAAACTTCATAAATTTGTGAGATTCGGGTAAATGATGTAAGAAACTCGCGAATTTCAAATTCGGTTTCACTTCACGGATGTTAAAAAAATAGTTCGATGTAATATGTGTCCTCGATGATGAGTTGTACGTAGTGAGCAAACTGTACGTAGCAGTGGTGGTAAACGGCGAGCGAAATTGCCGGACACAGTTTTATCGAATATTATTTTAATACGCGGAACTTCCGTTCGGGAATTTGTTTGTTCCAGTCGGATCGCGTATTAACTTTCCTTTGACGATAGATGGCTTATCGAATTCGTGGAACGTGCATGCGATTCCGATCTCGTTAGGAGAATATAGACCCCTTCCTTCTCTAAAAACAAACCACCAAGCGAACTTATGTAGCTGTTCCTCGTTCTGCAGCCAATAATCTCGCAGGCTCACAATCAGTGTCGAACATGCACGTGAAACTTCCTGATTGCCGCGAAATTTCTTTCCTATTACGGGAAATTAAGACCCCTTGGTTCCTGGAACCATCCAATTTAACGCCTCGCATAGTTTTAAATATACTACTCTCGAACAAGTAGTGTAACCCTTTCAGGATTTCAAATGTCTCAAATATTTTTATATCTTTTATATCTTGGACCATTCTAAATATTTTACACCTTTAAATATCCGATATATATTTTCAATCTTCGAAACTTGTTTTCCAAATGACACAAAATTTTCTACGCGCACAGTTTGCAAAATTCTTCGATGTCTTTCGTTCCACCCCAAATATTATCCAAAACTTTGTCAGAATTTTTTAAGGGGACAGTGTGTCAATCTTCGAAAAATCGATTCTTCTTGTTCTGTTTTAAATAGTAGTTCGAAGTCTTAGAAATAAGATAGAAAAGGTCGATTTAATTTGGAGTACAAGGTTTTTTTTTTTTTTACTAGCCCACCAAAGTATACGTAATTTTTAGGCCCGTTCTATACTGTCCCCTTAAAGAAGGACAACGCAGAATTTTATCTCGCAGATTCCACACACACACACACACACACACACACACACACACAAGTAGAATTTTTCATCGTTCTCGAAACGCTTCGTAGAAACCTGAGCAAAGTACTCTGAGAATTTTCCAGCCTGCACCTTGCCGCGTTGGTATAGTTTAGTACAGCGTTTCCCTATAGAAGACGGCTGGCTGAAGTATCATCAAGTTGCCATTAAATTTAATGCATCTCGATTGTTCTTGTTACGCGGCGAAGGTATGCAGCTGGATGTTGAATGTGCGTCGCGGCGACGGGTCAATCAACCGCGGGTGTTTATACCCCCTTGAGCGACGGTGCCCGTAACAAATTGTTGACCTCGGTTCAGAGGGGAACTCGCGAATCACCGAGTCGAGGGGACTCTATTTTTACATCGTTTTTTTAAATCAACGTGCAGTTGTTCGGATTCGTTCCTGACACGATCCCGCGGCTTCGACTTTCAACGTCCTCTCCTCCTCCCCCCACGACTGGTATTCGAAACTATAAAAATTGTCTTGCACCTCGTTTTATTGCTAACCTCTGTCAGAGAAGTTGCAGAGTAATAATAATTGTTACAGTGGATTAAAAATTTACTACACTTTTTTATATTATTTACTATACTATATTATAGTATATTACTATACTATACTATACTATATTATAGTATATTACTATACTATACTATACTATATTATAGTATATGTATAATACTATATTACTATACTATATTATAGTATATTATATATGTAGTATATTAAATAATTAATATTGTATTAATAGTGTATTAATGTATAATAGTATTGTTAATGTATTAATGATATTAATATATATATTAATTATAATAGTATTGTAAATGTATTAATATATATTAGTGTATAATAGTATTGTTAATGTATTAATGATATTATAATATATATTAATTATAATAGTATTGTAAATGTATTAATATATATTAGTATAGAATAGTATTGTTAATGTATTAATGATATAATAATATATATTAATTATAATAGTACTGTAAATGTATTAATATATATTAGTGTATAATATATATATTAATAGTGTATTAATATATATATTATAGTATATTAAATAATTAATAGTGTATTAATATATATAGTATATTAAAAATTAATTATTATATTTATTATTATGTTAAAAATATAATTAAATAACTCGAATTTTTCTAACATAATTACTATAGTCATTCGTGATCGACATCACCGAAGAATTAAAGATTATCTCTTAACTCTCTTCTACTTTTCAGTCTTCTACTTTTACTTCTCGTTGTTCGAGCGTTTTGTTTGACGTGCATTTGGTTGTTTGGGATGAATTTAAGCCATTTTTTTTCCTCGGTGATAATTATATCGAAGTTAGCTGGAATATTGGAGTTTTTCTGAGACGTAATATCTCTGGGAAATATTCAAAAAAATTGGAGAATTCCTTTACTGGGAAATAAAAATTTGTAATTGATGACATCTCATTTATGAAACTACTCGTATAGTCGTGATAGATTACCTTGTTTCTGATAGTTCTTATTCTACAGTCTTTTTTTTTTCTTTTTCGCGCGGACGAAAACCTCTGACAGTGAGAAACAATTTTTCCTCTTGTCAGAAGGAAAAAATCTCATGAATAGTTTATTTTCATTAGTATTCTCCCATAAATTTTATTTCCTTTTCTGAATTATTTCGAATCTTATTCATAGAAATATTCTGGAAGACACGCATATCTTGGAAAGAAATACTTTGTAAATTATCCTCCTCTTGTAAATTATCTTCCCCGTGAATTTCATCTTATTCCGAGTTACAAAATAGCTTGGGAAATATGTGCGTGCTCCTTGGAAAGAAATATCTTGCTAGATGTTTACCTTCATTGATATTGTTCCACAAATTTTATTTTATTTACAACTCTCGACTGTCAAACAGGGAAGAAAGAGCGTCTCTCTGGGAAGAAAGTCTATTATGTCGTGCAATGAAGTATAAACAATTACATCCTTACTACCGTCCAGGATAGAAACAGAACTCGTTTCCTCGGAACATTGTTTAGTTCGCTGTTGTAGCTCATTTAGCAATTGAATGTAGAATTGCTTTTTCGTGAAGAAAAAAACAAAATGTTGATTCTAAACTAGACTGTTGTAGAGGAGCAAAGTAATTTTGAACGAGCTCTCCAGAATCCTCCTAGTCCTTCACTGCTGGGAATATTTGAAATTAAGAATTAGCAAATTTGTGATCATTCTATTTTTAAAAATAGCAAGTATTTTTTTTTTATAGTAGATAGGTATACTTTTTTAATAAAATATAATAGATATTACATTTAACTGTAATTGGCGAAATTCACCAAAGAGAAATCTAAATATAAATTCTTATTAATACTTATATCACGTAAATAAATTAAAGTGTTAGGGGTACCCATAAGTAATAATGTCGTTTTTTGATACTGTACAAAATTTTATTTCATTCAATAGCTAATACATTTTTAATCTATAATATAATTTAATTCATCATATCATATAATTTTATTTTGTTTAAGAGTTAATAAAGATATTATCATAAGAGTTAATTAACATATTATTGTAATATAATTTTATTTTATTTAAGAGTTAATAAAGATATTATTATAAGAGTTAATTAACATATTATTGTAATATAATTTTATTTAATTTAAGAGTTAGTACAGTTTTAATCTATAATATAATTTAACAGTAAGCACGCTAAACGTCAATGTATTTAAGTTAATTATTGTCACTAGATGGCAGTGTTTATTAAATTTGAAAAAAACGACATTGCTTACGGGGGTACCCTTAATACATACATATTCAATAAATTAATAAAGCAAATACAATTCACACCGAACGAAATTTCCATTGAGATAGAAACCTTTGCAATTTTCATGTTTCCACACAAATTAATATTGGAAATTTTTCTCTTTTGCTTTTTGCGAATTAGAGTCATATCTGTTATCTGGAGTCGTATTTCTCCGGAAGGAAAACAACGTGGCAATCACGAAATATCGAAGGGTTTTCACAACACCAGTCGCTTTCACGGCAAAACATTTCGGATAAACGCGGCTTTATCGCCCTTGATTAGGGATTAGTTGTAATAGCGTTTCGGAAACAGGTGCGCGGTTAATGGTGCATAAATTTCATTCGATGGCGCACAAATCACCTGGCGAACGACCAAAATCGCTAGAAAGTTTCAAAGCGAGCGGCTATTGTTCGAACATTGATATTGGAAATCAAGCGCGAGCTTCTGAAACTTGATAGAAACTCTCGCGAGTTTTTCGATACTTTTCTACTTAGAAAATGATTCTATTGTCTTCGAATATATATACATAAAATAATAATAATTCAGATTACTCTTTTTTTCTTTTTAATAAATTTGTAATTTGAATTATTCTGGGAAGTTAGAATATCGTAACTTTGGTTAATTAATTAATTGTAAAGAGATGATATTGCGAACGAAGTATTTTTCTGTTGAAACCTGTTTCATTTGAAATTTTAATATGTTCTAAACAAGTGTGAAATCTGTGACTAAAGAAATTAGAATTAGATATTTGAAAAATTGCGATTAATTAAATTTTCTTTGGCCTGCCATTGTACTG